TTTCCCTAACTTAATATCTGTTAGATGGAATGACGTAGTGCCTTGTGTAAATAATGCCTGTTACATTTGCTTTTCTTCCTCAGCAGTGATGGGCAGTTCCCTTGAGCAGTACATTTTGGAGTTGGATCACTGTGTATCTGTGTTCAAGCCAAGTTTGCAATCTTCCCTATTTGCTTTATATTAATTTGTACTTATGGTTGGACTGCTTCCCTCACCAAATATGATCTTAACTGTGCAAGCCTGTGTGTAACAGCACCTAAATCTTACTATCATGTAACAGTCTTAGCATAGACTGCACACCAAAACAGTAACAAAGTGGAGTTTCTCTTTTAGAGAATATTTTAAGGAAAGATTGTGTAGAATCATAGAATCGTTTAGGGTGGAAAAGACCCTTGAGATTGAGTCCAACTGATAACGTAACACTACCAAGTTCATCACTAAAACACGTCCTTAAGTGCCGTGTCTATTTTATACCTCCAGGGATACCTCCACCACTGCCCTGCATTATTATTATTAAGTACTGCTTGTACTTCATAGTAAACTTTAAGAGCTGATTTTTTTAAAACCTCAATTCTAGTACAAAGCACTTTTAAAGGAAGATGGATGAAATACTAACCTTACATGGCAATATAGTGTGTATGGTCTATGATTTACTTTATAAGTTAAAGTTCCTAGAGGAGCCAACTTAAAAAACCTATGGAGCCCAAATTTGTTAAATTTAAATTTTTCCCAAGTATCTCATACTTCTGAGGAAAATAATGGGGAAGAATGGTTTACTGTAAAATGAAAGGAGGGAGCACAATGGGAGAAACAATAAAAGCCATCCTACTTTCTCCCATTCTGTCATGCCATAATGATAGCATAGAGATCTATGTAATATTGAAAATCCCTAGCATTGCTTTAGTGACAGTTTCATAGATGCAAAGCAAAGCACACCCATTAGCCCAATACTTAATATTGAATGTCTTGTCATCAAACACTGGATTTCTGTTCTAGCTCTATAACAGGTGTGATGTATGCCATTACCAGGAAGTGAATATATAGACATAAAGTGAATTTACACCCTGAAGTATTTAAGAGTTTAAAAATCCTAACCTTATTTGTTGCACTCAGGCCAGTCTCTACACAGGATAGTGGATGAACGTGTTAGATGTCAGCAGAATGACAAGCATGTGGCCACATTCCATAATGCAGTCATTCAAGATCCTTGACCATCTGCATATCAAACCACATTTTTTCCTGTGTTTTGCCTCTCCTCATTACCTGGCTGGGTGGTGTATATCCCTTGCTCTGGCAGGTAAATATAGAGGCTATGAACAGAGTTCTTATTCACTGTGGGGTTTCTCCCAGGTTAACTCCAGCTTGTTTTCCTCACTCCCTGCAAGGAAAGGAAACATGGGAACAACCCACCATTACAGTAACACTTTCTGAGAGAAGGACACAGCTCCCAAGCAAAGGTGTAGTTGAAGACACAAGTTGGAGAGTTTATTTATATGACTGCACCATCTCTTTTGTTGGCACATAACACTGGAAGATTTGAGGTGGTTTATTCTTCTCCGTCAGACTGATATTCATTCAATAATTTAGAACTGAGATTTCTAGAGTATTTATGTGATTTTGCTTGACTGTTGCTTGCATCATAGTTTGGCGACTTCTGGGTTTCAACCCTCGCTTTTTCAACTAGGTTTTTCGGACAATTATAGCTAACCATACTCCAACCTTGCTGGACTTCACATTACCACGTTGGAAATAAATTGTGATTTTATCTAATCTAACTTCAACATAAGGACAAATTGAAGTTTTGAACGATTGTAATAAAAGCTGCATGAGTGTAACCGTGTCTAACATTTTTACTAGGACAAAACCTTAAAGGACGTCTGTCATGACAGGGAATATTGAAACATTGACTATATATATTTATCAAGTGAATGCATGGTTAGACTTTGGCAGGTTGGGAAATGGTTATTCTTTAAAATTAATTTTACATCACAGGGTTTTTTTTTGTTTTTTTTTTGATTCCACACATCACTCGAATTAATTTTCAAAAAACCTTGGTTAAAGATATTAGGGCAGGGAGATAATTTATTTAAATACCCTTGTTCTGTTCTTAGCTATGGGGAGCACAGAGCTATAGTAATATAGCAAAATATTGTTTGGTTTCCATAACCAAATTATGGGGAGCAGAGTATTGCACAAGGGGCGAGCTCAATTAGATCACTACATTCCCATCTCCAGCACTTTGTATTTATTATACAATCCAGTAGATTTCACTGCGAGAAAGTTCTAAAATTATATTGCAACCAGACTTGTCTCACAGCTCCAGCACAGAACAAACAGGGGTGGGTTTTTTTCTGCCAAATTCTCTTCCAAGAGCAAGTATTTCTCTAGTAGTTAAGATTTTTAGAAGCACAGAGATTTCTTTTAAAATCTGCTGTTATGTAGAAGTAAGAGCTGCAGTTCTAGATTGCTGGCCTTTCATGAGCCCTCTGAACTTGTCTACAATGGTCTTTCCACTGAGGATTGCTTTTGTGGGTTTTATTTTCTGAATTCCTTTGCTGTAGCAGTTGCCTTCAGAAAATGACTAATGGTTTATTTATGCTAAAATAAATGCTTTTCATAACTCCTCCCACTGAGCATTTCCTCTCTCATACAAGATATGACATCAGAAAGAGCTGATAGATACTGTGACTTAGTCTTCAAGATTATGTGTGTCATTCAATTTAAATTAATTAGGCAGAAATATTCAGTTAACTCTGAAATAACCCTCTGAATATTTTGTCCAATGGTTTAAATTCTTTCTAAGAGAGGCATCTATAACCTTGTGTTAAGGAGTGAATGGATTTATTGCGAGCTCACAGCTATCCCTCTGATCGGGCACCATTATTTAAGTTAAACAAATTATGAATTATCAGATATAACAAGGAAAGTAAAAAGGTGCAAGTTTTAAGCATGAGACTAATATAAAATTACACTAAACCTTACTGTATACATTTTTTGATGCAGGCTAGGCAGTTATTTCATACAGAAAAAATCAGGTCCATGGATGATAGAGTGGTCAGTGTTATTCCTTCCCTCATGCAGGGATCTCCCTTTTTTAACGAACTAATTCAGTACATTTTGTGCAACATTTGGGGACTTAGCATGCTGCTTATTCAAGTGTTCAGCAATTGTAATTCTTGTACCCATATAACTCAGTATCATGTTACATCCCTCCCTTTCATTGAAAAAGCTTTCAAAGTCATTATAAGACATCTTCACATCAACGGTAATTCATTCTTGTAATTTTGAAAATTAGATTACTACATAATGGACAGCTGCTAATATGTACCTTGGAACGTTTCACTTTATTAATGATTTTTGATGTCTTGTTTTCTCACTCTTTGGATTTAGCTCCTCTTTCACTCAGGCATCTTGGTGTCCCTAAGCCTTTCTGGGCCTCAGCTGGAGAAAGTGGTGATTGACAAGACCCTGGTGGGAAAGCTCATCTCCAACACCATCAGTGATGGTAATTACACCCATGTGCAAATCAATTGCCTACATTAACAATAGAGTAGAGAAGCAGTATGTCAACAGGTAGACTAATTATTGCCACTGGGGACTTGCAAACACAACAAGTAATTGCATGTAATGCCATAGTTACAACCCTCAAGACTAAGAACACTTTAAGAATAATATTTAACATCAAAATTTTCAGGCTTGTCAAAATACTTCATGGGTTTCTAAAATTCAGTTTCTTATACATTTTAATTGCTGTGAACATGCCATTTGAACTTGTCATGTTTATTTCATAAGTGGGAAGATGGGACTGAAGCAGACATTAGCCAATTGATTAATTCCATGGGATAGTGATTATTAAAGTGATTATTAAAAATGTCTGGGTAACATTAGTTACATGGAGGTGTTCTGATTTAGTTTCTAGGTTTCCAGAATCTCACTATTGTTATTAAGCAGTGACTGCTAAAAATGAAGTTTTCATTTAATGCAGAAGAAAACTTACAAAAATGTGCCTGTTTTCCACAGCTTTATAATATGACTATTGCTTTTTCAGTGTGTCTCTACACAGCTCCAATGAGAAACCAGCTGGGTATCTTGGTTTCTGCAGGAGCAAGAGCATGAAATTTTAGTGCAGGCCAAATTACATTATCTTCCAAATTCTTTAGAAGTAGACCCAAATTACATCCTTTTAGTAAGAATATACACTTCACTCAGGTTTGGTCTTTAATGATTTATTTTCCTCCATACTCAGGCATCTATTGAATATTGGCCTGGTTATTTAAGAAATCTAAGATACTGTGTCCTTCTGATCTTTCTTATCAATATATTGTAATTTATTCTTGAAAATTAACAAGATAACTGTGTTAGTAGAATCTTTATTTATCAAAAAATGTAAGCCTAACCTCATTTTTAATCAACTAATTGCAAAGAGAGCATAGAACATATTTACTCTCTTGACTCCTCTTTTCCACTCTTCACCTAAGTTACGGAACTCCAGGTGTTTTGCCCTCTCTTTCCAAAGGAGGACATCATACTTTAAGGTGACAAAAAGTAGAAAAGCATGGAAGCTAAGGATATACCCAAATTGAATTTGTTTGTACAGATTATTTTGAATACTCTTTTAAATATAAAATTAAATTATAGGTATCATGCCTTACCTTGTCTCAATATGTCATAGAAATAAAAATATTTGTTTAAAAAATGCTGCTAAATAGAAAAGTTTACAACTAAAACAGTAATAAAGCAACAAATGTTTGCCTACATTTAGACTGCTGCATTTATTATGTAAATAACATTACATAAAATGTTTTTCCTTTTTTGCACTTATTCAAGATATTCTTAAACCTCCGTGTTTGCTAATACTTGTGTCTGAAGGTGAAATAAAACTGCCTTTGTTCAGTGAAATAAAACACCCAACAACTGTCATTGCAATACAGTTTTTATTTTCATGAACAACAAAAGACTATCCTTTTGTTACCCACATAAATAGTGTGCAAAATACAAATTTTTATACTGAACTATCCTTACCTCGGAACCACAACATAATGTTGTCCTAGAGGAAATTTACTCTAATACAACAAAATTGCACATCTTTCCAAATCTGACTTGGAATTGCAGTTGTGATTATAAAGTTGGCCAAAAGAAAAATTTATGTTTGATACAAGAAGCCTGTATAAAAGTAATAGTTCTTACTTTAGCAATTGTATATATGTAGAAATGGATAAGGATTACAAGCCACCAAAATTATCTATGAAATGCTGTAATTCCAACTCAAAGTAGCATGTCCTCTTAACATTTAGAATAAAGGTCAGATTGTGTGCACAAAATACTGCTTTTATAATCCTCCTACATCTAATAAAGTCCTCCTGATTCTTATTATTTATAGGCAAAATTTCATCACAATCTGAGGTGTGCTGGAGCTCATCTTTAGTGTAAACTATGTCTGCAAGGACATCAAAATATTTTAACTGTGTACTTACATATCGAGGCTACCACACTCAGTGATTTTCAATTTTCATCTGTAGGCAGGATCTCAGTTATAGCTTCTAAGTCCCCATATCAGAGACTTTATCACATTTTTGCCCCCAAAAACCCTAGTGTTAATGTTATATTTCAAAGGCAATTATTTGGCTTTAAACTCTACCCTTTAGTATTTGCATACCGAGTACTTCAGAGTTGTGCCAGAACATGTGTGTTGGAAAATGCAAGTGGTTATAAATGAGGCTAAATCAAAGCAAAGCTGAGTAGTCAGTTTTCCACACTTATAAGTAAGGCTAAACTGTCAATATACTTGAGGATATGTAAAATTTGGATTCAAAAATCTGGAATATTAGTAACAAGTGCTTTTTTTTTAGTTTGTTTTTCAGGGGTTGTTCCACAGGGTTTTGTTTGTTTGTTTTTAAATCTGGTTCCACTTTACTTGGCATTTTCATTTTAACAGGGGTCTCTGAGTTTACAGTCTGAACACAGCTTGCTAGCTTTAATTTAAACCTGCTTCTCATCAATGATTCCTCAATGTCCTGGTACTACTTACCCTGGTGACTCACTTCATACTCAGACATCTCTTTAAATGTGGGTGCTGCTTGAATAATGGGGTAACACTTGGGAAAAATCCTAGAGGTTTCCAAGTAATTTTCTTTGTCAGATTAGTTAATCACTTTCATATTGAACTATTTTGGTCTAGCACCCCCTTATGATAACAGCAAGGATTCCACCATGCTTTTCCAGGCTACAAGGGAGTCAGACGCATCTTGTATTGTTCGGATACCTCCATGTGAAGCTTTCAACAAATTCATAACCCCTGTAAAGCATAATCCTGGATGTAACAGCCTCCTTGCTGTCTGTAGCAGCACCAGGGAACCTTGCAATGTCAAAATACCAGATACACCTCAAGTACTAATTTGCATTTGTCACCCTTAGCACAAGCTAAGCTGTATTAGGTGCATTTCTGAAATACTGATGGATGTAACCATAAGAAAAAAAATACTGAAGGCTGAACTGAGATGAAAATTAATGTGGAAGGGCATAAACCATATATTTGAATGTAGTGGCAATTTGATATGAGATAACTTATTCAGGTTTATGTAATCAGAGTACTCCCTAGGCTTTATTTCTCATTTCCAAGAAGGTTCTGGCAGGATGACACATTGATGTCTTTTAGGAGATTAAAGGGATTTCAATGTAATATTTAAGACACTGTCTTGAAAAAAATTGCTTTTTGCAGTGTCTTAGTGGAGGGTTCAGTACTTTGTTTTGTTACTAGAAACAAGCATTACAGCTGTGACAATTTTTATTTGGGTTTTTTTTCAGCTGTTCTTACAGACAATTTCATCATCTTGTCATTTGAGGACCATAACCAACTCTGCTTTATTCAGTTTACAAAGAAGATGGATTCTCCTGATGTAAACAAAAGACTGGAAAAACTCTCTTGTTTGGACTTTAAGGTATAACTGTCAGTGGTGACTGAAGATACTGCAGGAACTATACATTATGAATCACTGGTACTCACTGATGTTGTATAGCAGCATAAATTACAAACCTTTATATAACTGACCAAAGCAGCCCAAATTCTAAAAATGACACTTACTGAAAAGTCTAAAGAAATTACATGGCATTTTGAGTTAATGAGTTATAGTACTATGCCAAGAGGGATCCATCCAGTTTTCTGCTGTATTTAAGTTTGGGTTCAGACACACATTTGAGTGACCCCTGCTTGACAGATTACCTTGTGTCCATTGAGCAGCAGTAACTAACCCTTTGCACCTTCTCAGCATCTAACAAGCATGAAGCAAAATCTGTAATGGTAAACCTCAGTGTAAAAGAGGTTTTACCTCTAAGCTAATGTGTTTTACCTCTTGTTTGTTGTGGGCTGAAAACACATGCATGGTCCATTACTGTGGCTCAGCTGATAGACATGAACTCATGAGGCCCTGATAATTTGTCTGAGCTCTGTAAATACTTGCAGAAACCTTAATTTCCCCTCTAGTTACAGTAATGGTAGTGTTGGGAGAGTAATTTTTACAATTAAGCCACTGAGTTAGGACTTAAGATACGGAAGCTGAGTTTCTCACCACTGGCCACCTATCTATGTGACCTTAGGCAAGTGACTTGGTGCCACTGTATCTCAATTCACTAGTTATACAGTGAAGATTAAAATACATTTTTTCCAGCCCTTTATGTGTGGGTGTGCCTATACCACAGACAGAGGAGTTGCTGAAAGGTAGCCTAGAGAGAGCTGAGCTGGTTTTAAACTAGCCAGTCTGGATGTCAGTGGAAAACAGCTGATCTCAAGCTGCATTATGCTGTGGTTTGGATGGGTTGGACTGTGTAGGCATAACTTATTTTGACCATAAGCTCTTTGGCATCAGAGCAGCAGCTGACCTTAGGTGGAAGTGTTTGGTGCTACAGCAGTATGAAAAAATAATCAGCCAAGGCAATTAGCTTTGAACAGGTGAAGTAGGAAAGGAGCAGCATCCAATTCACTGCAAGAATGAAGAAGGGACAAGCCTTTGCCCAAAAAAGGTAGAAAGATGTTGTGAGAAAGAGAGTTTGTATTGATTTCAGACTGGATGAACATTAAGGAAAACAATCTTGTGCTAGCAAATATTTCCCCCTTGGCAACCCCTCAGTAATTTGCTTCCTCACATAAAGGAGCTTGCATCTGCAAGGCAAGCTTTTTAAGGATGTCTTTAATTTAAGTTTTGCCATAATGTGTTTTAACTTGCTTGGTAGGAATACTTTCTGCTAGGTTTAATATCTAATACATTTTCCAGGCTGTTTCAGTTCAGGGCCTCCTTTCAGCAATGACTTGTGTTTGCAAGATTGATCCAACCTCTATAGCGTGGATTTGAGACAGTTCACTGTTCACCAGGAACTGAGCTGATACATACTTTACTTTAAAATGATGTGCCTCGTGCCTGGCCTATGGTGTTTGTCAAGGCTGAGCTTTGGAAGTGAGTGTGGTGTGGCTTTTTAAAATAGTGCTAAAGTTTAATGAAGAAGCTGTGGTGAACCGAAGACTGCCTTTGTCATTGAAGTGTGAGGGCAATAGCTCCTGACTTAATGTTTAGAAAATAAATTTTCATTCTGAGTATTGTGGGGCACATTTTGTACCTAATGGTTATGGCATTTTTTCCTTGAGTAAGAAGGAAAGCCTTATCCATTGAAAACTCTCCCTTCCCTAAGAAACCAGAAATATCTGCTGCACTCCTTAATAGGGTTGTTAAGTTCAGTTCTTTGCTGACGCAGCTGAGCTTCTCAAAACGCCTCCGTGTTCAATGATAACTTTGTTTCCTCCTGAAATCAGTGGGAATCACTATGGAATATTTCTTTACCAGCCAAAAAAAAACAATTTGCATTTTTTAATTGAATGTTCTTTTATGTGAGGCTTGCTAGTTAGGCAGCTAAATATAATTTTTACTATCTTCAGAATTGCACCAGTGCAAGACTGCAGCAAGTGTTATTCACTGCTGCAATAATATTATGTCAGCTCTCTGCGTTGATTTGGAGTTCTTCATGGATGATTTTAGTCAAACTTCCAAAAGCTAAAAGATCACAGACACAGTCAGCACTAGTGCCATTCTCAGTAGAAACAAAGTTGGTCCTCAATTGCAGCTGTGCAAACTTGTAACAATATGTAACAATAACAGATGTTGGGGGTTTGTAAGGAAAGAAAAAGGAGCTGATTTTTGTTTGAAGAGAAGTTGAATGAGAAAGACAGCTTGCACTGGTATAGAGCTACCACAGAAGTTAAATCTGCCTCTGACTGTTGGTGTAGTCTTGAGAAATGTACGTAGTATTTGGTTTTAAATTCCTGTTTCTAAAATGAGGAAAATGCTTGTGATGATATAATTAAATTTCTGTCATATTATCACTGTAATGATAAGCAGCTTCACATTGTTCAGTGTCCAGCCTCTTGATGGGCAACATTGGCAGCAGTGCTGAACTGCCAGAGTGCTGTCAATAAGAACAAGTCAACCATACTTACCTCCTCACAGCTTAATATTTATCCAAAAGTTCAGGTTTTTTACACAATATATACATAAATGAAAGAATTACTTTCTCTATCCTCTTCCTTTCTATACATTCCATCTTGGATTTTATTTACAGCTTGAAACAACAAAGGAAGACTTATTGTATGAATCACTACAGTCTTGAATACCAGCAAAGCGTAAACCCAACTATTATCATTTGCCTTTTCTCAGAGGCATGAGTCCATGTTTGAGAGTGACATGTCTAATGCAAGACAGAAAGGTTTACAAGAGTTGTGGCTGTTATTACATGTGAAATTGTTATCAACAGATAACACTGCAATACAGGACTAATTAATACCTGTGGAAGTATTTGTGGTTATCCAATCTAATCAATATATTGTCACCAAATTAACTACTTTTATGTAGTTCTAATTCAAGAAGCAGCTACCTGTTAACTTGTGTATATTTAGTTTTTACACTTCTAAGTATTTTGACAAGTAAAACATGGGATATTCTGAAAATACTGACCTTTCGCAAGTTTTTCCCCTCTGTGGTTTTTTAATCCGTTTCAGTTTACTGAAGGAGAAAGAACAAGGAGTTAAATGTTTACCATGAGAGAACAACATTGGTAATTACTTTGATTTCAGTTCCTTTTGATGTGTATTCAGGGGATGAAGAGGTCAATAATATTATGACCATGCAAATAGAAAAGGGTTCTTTTTGACCATATAAAAAAACAGCAAAGGATTATTAAAGCATTAACCTTGATTTTAATGGCCTTGGTTGAGAGCTGAGATCACAATTTGGATGAGCCTGATTATTTACTAAATACAATACATAAATGCAACGGGTTCTTAACACCCATTGCACTCTGGCATTATCGCATTACTGCCAGCCTTTGTTGCCTTGCAGACAGGAATATGAAAGCAATCTGTCATGTAGTGAGACTGGCTCCAGAAGCATTTCTCTGATAAGAAGACCCCCTGCCCTTTGCTAGTGTCTGGTCCAGTAGGCTTAGCCATGCGCTTAATCCCCAGAAAGTGGTTCGATTATTGCTGACCAGCAATGGCAAGATAGTTTTTTTTTCCCCTAGCTATCAACCTTCCATTAATTCCTTAAGCAGAAATGCGGTGCAATCTATATTTCCTTGGCATGTGTCACCCAGATGGTGCACTGCTCATGTTTTCAAATAACCATGCTCCAAATAACAGAGTTTGAATAATAAATTCCACAAATCCTTCCTGAGAAAGAGGCACAATTCTCAAGAGCTGCATAAACTTTACGCATGATGCTGTAGCTCATCCACATTATGCAGAAAAGTACATATTCTCTTGCAAAGCGGATGTTTGTGTTTGGATTCCTTAATTTAGGGAGGGGAAAAAAAAAGATATGTTTGCTCAAATACTGTAGAATATATTTAATCTTTGATTATGTCTTAAACACTAGCCTTAGCTCCGTGGTCAGCTTTGCAGAACTTGTCATTTAATATGGCTAAGCTTAAATCCTATGTGGAGGTCGATGCTGTCAAGCAACCATGACTGTACATTTTGGTATTGATTGGAGTCATTGCAGTAAATTCCTTCTTAACTCACATTCCTTTCCATCCCAATCCCCTCCCCGTAGATAAAAGTGTGAGCATGTCTTTTTCTGTCTGAGGAGATATTTTTTTACGTTTACAGACAGCCTATATGAAGATATATGTATGCAGTAGTCTGTGCATATATACGGTCTTTTTCACACGTCTAAAGTAAATGCTCCCATTTGCCCCTACTATGCTATTTTGTCACCTCAAATATTTCCTGCTTTTTTTCTTCCATCAGATTTCTGACATTGATATACTTGGACCAGAAGGTAGAAGGATGAAACGTCACCTAGCAATAAATTGTATGCAAGATATGGTCATTTGCTGGTGGTCAGCAACTAGTGATGGAGCATGGCCTTGGTCTCCTATTTCCAGTGAGAGGGACAGAGCCAACTTATTGCTATTAGGCTGTGCACATGGCAAATTGGAGGTAAAGTGCTCAACTCTCTTGTTACGTGATTTTTTTGTTTTGCTAAAGAAAGAACTGTTCAGTTTAAATGCATATTCAGGTAGATATAAAGAACAGATATGATAAAAAACAGAAGAAAGGAAGAGCAGCCATTCTAATCTTATAAACAAAGATTGTTTTTTAATAAAAAAAAGCATCTTATTTAGTACGTTTACGATTTTCACATCAAAACTGGCAACCTGAGAAATGTAGCAAGGTAGTTAGGTCTTTATCATGGAATAGCTTTGGTGCTTCTATCACTGAAAATGAAAGTGTCAGAGTACCACTAGAAAACTAATCTGAGTTAAAAACTGAAACTGTTGCATGCCTGTCTGATGCAATTATTTTACATTGTCTGCAATGTTAACTGATAGGCATTTTACACCCATTTGAAGTGTTTTGTTATAAAATTCTGGCTATGCCCAGACGGTGTTTGAATTGTTGCTATGAGTATTGATCTACTAAGGGGCGGATTTTTTAATTAAGGAAAAAGTCAAAACTCCCCATACAGGTGGAAATGTAAGTTGCAAGTTAGAACAAAGGTGTAAGCTGACCCTCTTCCTGATGCCTGCTTAGCTTACCTTTTTAGGCAGATGCTCCCATGTCAATTATGTTGTTTCTATTTCATCTATTTAAGAATATTTGAATCCAGTTTGTTGTGTTAGGTAGAAATACAAAAACAAAGCTATCTGGGCATACTCTGAAAGAGTTGGAGCCTGAATTTAACATGTAAAAGCTTTTCTGGAATAACATCTTGTATAGATGCTCCTGTATTTGGAATTTTATTTTCAGTTTATCTTAAGCCACTTCTAATATGGACTATAAAAGGTGCTGACTGTGGAAGAAGAGCACAAACTTGAGGATCAGCTGTGGAATATCTGTTCTGGATTAGCTATTACAGACTATTTCCCTGTAGGGTAAAAGGCTAGGTGACACTTTAGAATAAGCTGCTCTTCCAAACAGCATCCTCTTCTCTGTAATTAGGGAAGATGTAAATGTTTTAATGTCTTGGAACTATTACTTTGATAACTAATACAGATTTCAGTGAGATTTTTTTTTCCTCCTGGGATTTTCTACCTGTTGAAAGGAAAAGAGAAAAGGTAGTGAGACAGCTTTTATTTCTCTTTTTTGTTATTAGTCACTATATAATTTAAGTTTAAATTACCTCCAGTTCTGCCTTCTTTACTTCTTTCCTGTTGACCCCTCTCCACTCACAGCCATCTTTGACTCATCTCTCTCCTCTGCCTGATCTATACCTGCAGTTCTCCATTCCCCCTGCAGCTATGCCCAATCACATAGAAAAATTACTCTGGGAGCTAAAATGTGTGGCTGTTCTTTGTAAGCTTTTCCAGCCTAGTCCCTGTGCCAGTTTGATATTATGAAACTTTATCCTACTAACATTTCAGATCTTATTTCTTACCATGACTTCTGTATGTCCAGGTTCTGACAGTGCCATTCCTGTGCCTTTTTTCCCTTCCCACATCTTCCAGAAATCTCCTTCATGCCAACATAGCAGTTTACAATCTCTTATTTTCTGAGATGTTTTTAGAGACTCTTTTCTTCTAAGGAATTCACAGTTACTTTCCTGTCACTTTAAATATTTCTCTATTCCATTTTATATGTTATAGGGAGATTCCCAAATCACTGCATTCCTCTGCGTCTTTCAATACACCTTGTTTGGTCCTTTTCTGGTTTATACTCTAGTATAGTCCCAAGCATGTAACTGGTGCTCTGCACGATAATGATAATAAACATTCACTGAGGCTTTGGGCCTAAGCTCATAATCATTTTCATTTGGACCATATTGTACTAGAACTGTAAGAAAATTCTTTTTAAAAGCAGAACTGCCAAATTTAACTGTTCAGTTGATTTCCATTTTCTGATTCTTTGCTGTACTTGTCTGTTTTAATTCTAAGATCTTTGGATGAAACTTCTTTTCCTGTATTTATCAATAAAATACCAAGCAGTATGCCAGAGCTATGGAAAACTTAGTCATATATGGATATCAAATTGTCTTGCTGGCTGTCAGTTGGGCTGTTCCATGTACATAGCTCTTGAATGCTCAGTAAGGCTCAAGACACTCTGCTTATACACTTATCCTATGACGTGGAACATATGGCTGTTTGGTTGAGGGTTTTTTTCTTGATTTGTCTAGCATTCCTTATGGGCTGGAGTTAAATTCCCATGCATAGATGGGAGAATGTCATAACCCAGCAGCTCCAGAAGTAAAGTTAACCCCAAATCTGCAATTAAATGAGGTACATTTTTCCCCTAGAGAGTCTTGAGGTGGAACGTTAACTTAAAATTTTAACTTCTGAGGATCATTTGATAGCTTAAACACGAGCAAAAGCATAGTTAGCATTTCTAGAGAGCTTCTAAAAAGTTACTCTCTAGGTCAGGTACCACAAAAATACAGTGGTTCTGTAAGCATGCTTATTTGCCTCTCTCTGCCTCTACTTCCTTACCTTTGTAGTATTCCTCAGGTATAGACCTGGAATAAAAACATGACATGCTGTTGTTACGCATGAAAGTAAGTCCATATTTATCATACTTGACCAATAATATGAATTTTCTCCCAGTAAATTATTATTGCCAACAGAAGGATGAGAAGCATGAACTGATTCAGTTGAGAGCATTTATCAAGAAGTGTAGTATAGCAATACCACCAACATTTTACTTGAAAATAGAGTACCAGTTGGAGCAAAACCAGCATTATTATCTAGAACTAGAGGAAGAGCAGAAATTGCTGAATATCAAGCCCGTAAAGAGCTGTTTGGCATATTGATTTAATGAAACCAAGCCTGAGGAAATTAATGGGTGTTACCCACAGCCATCACCTCAGAGCTGACCGACAGAAACCACAAAATGACCTGCCAGCTGCTGACATTCCTGTTGCTGGGGCAGAGCAAAGGTAAATGGGGCACTAATAAGATACTACTTCCTGCCTGGAAGAATTTTATGAGTGATACTAGCCTTCCATCAGAAGAGTGCTCATTGGGATAAGGACAGGAATAGCTCTAGGATGAGAGGCCACTGAACCCCTCATCATGTTCATCACCTGTAACCACACGTTCTCTATTGGGATGATTCACATTGCATATAGAGTCTTTGGGGTACTGTGTACTTCAGCAGCTCTTTAACTTAATGAAAGAAATACATTTTACATTTTAAATACACTATAAATCTTATTTGAATTTTGCTGTATCACTTTACATTTTAACATGTACTACTATTAAGCACTATTCTTCTAAAAAGAGAAAGAACTTTTTCCTTGCATATCATGACTTATTTAACAGAAATTTTTTTCTGAGATTAGTGTTTACTATGTTGAATGCTGTAAGATTTGATAAAGAATTATCCCTTGAAGAAATAAAAGTGCTTTTCTGTTTAGCATGTGGCTTTGCTTCAGTGTGCGATGTACATTTAAACATATGCATGTTGCTGCAGGAGCCTGTTGAACCTTTGTCTACTTTCCTCCAGTAATGTCATCCATTTTCTAATTGATTTATTTAATCATTTGGGTTTTGTTTGGTTTGTTGGGCTTTTTTACATTAAAGTGCCAATGGTCAAGCATGTTATTCAAGTTGTCTCCCTGTGGAGACAACGCTAGTGTTTTGATTTCAAAACCAGAAGAGGAATCTTCCAGAAATTATTTCAAACAATTTGCTATGAATAAATAGGATCTGATGTGAACTCCTCTTTGGATTAAATGCTTTGAGAGAAAGTAATGTTAAAATCCACATGAACTTTATTCTGCAAACACAAATTAACAGGAGGTGCTGATGCCAGGGCTCAGTTACTGTAGCACTTTGCATTTGTCTTCGTCATTTTTGTTTTCACTGCATTTAGTGCCAGTATGAATCACTGAAATTATACTTCAATATTGTGGAAAAAATAATTTTCCTAAGAGAGAATATTATTTTTCTTTCTCACAAGAAATACTATTTAATAGTTATTGCTTCCACATTGTGCCTCAGACTTGTGAAATAAACACAGCAGATCTTTTCTGAGCGAGCTGTCCTACAGTTACTGTAGTGCTCAGAAAAACATCTATTGTATGTGGCTGAATGGCTGAAATACCTTTCACACACATAAAGCAAAGAAAGCAAAATTCTCGGTGCCACATTGGGTTAAAAGTGCAATGAAAAATATGGGATAAAGATGCTGATAAATTTTGAAAGAAAATAAGAATAAATATTGACTAGAGATCTAAAATAATAAGATCACATGTGGGACCATAAATACAGTGCAGCCAAACAAGTAACCTAGAGTAGAATCCCTGCATTTTTATTTTAGAAATGTTTTTAAATAGGATGGTTTTTTTCCTTCCATCTCCACAGTACTCTATTTAAAACTATCTTATTCTGGCATGCACCACATTTCTCACTTTACATTTCTAATTAAAATGTTTGTTGTTATTTGGAACCTCACTGTGTGAAATTAAATAAGCAATTTTTTAACATCCATAAAATAAATCAGACATTTTTTCTCATCTGAAAGACACACAATTCAGTCACAGCAAGCTTGTTGCTTTGTTTCTTTTGTTTTCTTTTTTCATCTGCCTGGTAAACCAATTTTCTGCTTAAGAACTACTGGTTAAAACTCTCACTTGTTTTGATATGTGGAGTTTATCCTTTCCCAGCACTCTATGCAAAATACTTCAATTTTAAGTGTTCAAAGATTTGCACTGAGAAGAGTGATACTGCCCACACAAGCTAGTGCTATTGTTTCTTTCGAACATGAAATGAAAGAAGGGGTTTTAACTAGCATTGTTCAGGCCCCTTGTTTGTAAAGATTAACAGGTTCCTTTGCTTAAATTGTTGTGATTCCTGACTATAGGATTTGAGAACCTGGCATGTGTAGCATCCCTCATCCTGCTGATGAGCTGGTGCAGAGCCCAGGTCAGTACTGCAAGGGGCAAACAATATAAATGTGCAGTAGTGGTGCATGACTGGCACATTAATAAGGGAAATATGTGTCAATTATATGGACAGTATTTAAATAAATGGACTGTATTTTTGTAGCATTCGTGTCACAAAATTGAAAGGGACAGAAAGTAATTGGATTTACTTCATGCAAAGTACTTCCAGAAATCTTTCCTGGTAATCCAAGGCTAAGAGGTTAGTCCAAGATTTATGGAAAGCACTAACATTGAATGGACGATACACCCCACCAGGTGATAGAATGGCTCAGTCTTTTCAGATCTGCTGCCCTGTCTCCTCCCCTGCAGGTCCAACAGTTGTCGTACCCATTTCTGAGGAAATTCCTCCAACGTTTGCTTTCCCATTCTCTAAGCAAATGTTTTGTTAGCTTAAAGATATGTTGCTATTTTAGGGTTCCAGAGAACTACTACTCACCAGAAATCCTGGCAGATTCCTTTACATGGACTGCTAAAGCACTATGTGCACTACGTTTACTAGTGTGTGGCTTCTTACCAGGCAGAAGAACAATTGGCAGAATACCATCTTCTTGGGGGGGAAAAAAAGAATAGAAAGTTTTGATTGTTAGACTTTTTATCTTTCAAAAGCATTATCTCAGGCTTATTAACGTTCCTGTGTTGTGTGTCTCTTTGCTTTAGTTTTTCAGTTAGTGTCATGAAGAATTAATAATAAAAGTAATTTCTCACAAAGAAACTCAAATCTTCCCTCTCAGATGAAAGAGTATATCCATTTTTTTTCCTCTTCAGAATGCCAAATACCAGTTACATTCAGCAAAACTGGAAGGCAGAACAAAGAAGTCTCTCAGTTTGGTACTCTTCCTGCAAGAGGCACATGAGGCCACTGATGCATAGGAAGCAGCCTATCTGTTCCAATCTAAGGAGAAATGTTTCCCTTGTTTTCAGCCAGAACATGAACAGTAGTGTCTAGGAAAGTTTCTTTTAAGCCTTATGTGTTTAAACTTTATGCCAAAACTTATGTTTTGAAAGGCAACAAATAGTCTTTCTGTCCTTGCAGGAACTTTTTCCTAGTCTAGAATTGTGCTACATACAGCAACCAGCCCTACCCTATACTTCAAGGATTTGCTCTCAAACTTATGTGAAGCTAGGAAGCTTCTCATCTCATGACTCATTAGATCAGCCTTCCAAAATGCAAGATTTTACTTTCTTTTCAATTCAAAGTAGTGATCATCATTTTGTCCTACTTTTGCTCTAAAAAAGCAGAACAAAATTATGAATTGGGTGCAGTTTACTTGCTGACTCCCAAACAATCAGATGGCAACATTTATTTTTCTGTGACTGTTTTCATTGCTGTTTTCCACCAGTCACTCCTATAGAGTTGTAAAGTCCATGTTTCATGTATTTTCTTCCTATTGTCCTAACCTTCAAGGCCAGACTCTTCAGAATTTGATAGTGCTATGAGGCTTTCATCTCTCATAGGCTTGATTATTGTGTGGATCTTCATGACTTTCTTGTGAGATGTCCAGAGAAAAACACTGGTTTAGGGTCAAAATATGTAGATGAATAATGCAGTGCATTGAAACTTGCCACAGGACGACAGAGATCTGAGTCCCAGAGGGCCTCAAGGCTCACTTCACTGAAGTTATGGAGGCTTTGAAGACTTGCTTGGGCAAGATTTCTGTTTCACACATTTGAAAGGGAGCTACCTGGGTCTCTATACATACTCTTAGGGAAAACTGCAGAACAAACAATAACACTTCACTTTGTCTTTATTTGGGGTTAGAGAACTGTGTGGTCACAGTAATCCTTTGTCCACAATAATCTCTTTTAGGAGTTTCCTTGCCATGCAATTTAACACCCTAATAAACACACTTCAGTAGCTCTCACATCTACACATTAGCCACTACAACATTTTGTGGGCATAAAATTACTAGTTGCAGAAACTAAGTCATTGGTGAGGGAATGACTGAGGTGGGAAAATGTTTTTCAGACTATATAAGTAATTTAATATTTTATTTCCTCTTTGTGTATATTTTCATTGATCGCTACTCTGTTGAGATTGGTTGATGTGGTTTTCACAGGTTGGATACATTGGCTTCTGTATTAGGTGCTTTTGCATTAAGTGGTTCTTTGCATGTCCCTAGCTACTTATCTTAGAGTAGCAAAGACTTCCGCATTAACTGGCAGCTGGTTTCCAGCCAGAGAACTGCAATAATCCTTTTCTTCTTTCTTTTGAATGAGAAACCCTTTTGCTGACAAAATAAGTAAGGTGTCAGAACAAAACATCCTAATCAGTCCAATCAACATCCCAAATAGCTTGTTTATAAATTTATCAGTTACTTCTGAAGTAATGGGTGGTATGCCAAAAAATCTTAATTTCTTATTCTCCTTTGCAGGATGAAAGGCTAAATTACCTGCTCAGTTGTTCTTATGATCTGTGAAAATCAAATTTAAATTGCTCTAACATTATTTGTGCATTTCTTTTTTCAACCTGAAATTTCTGTATTTCCTTCCTCTCCCTCTTTAATCACATTTTTAATCACATTTTTTACCCCTTTCTGTATAAATGTTCCTTGCATCCCACCTGGACTCAAAAGAAGGGGCTTCCAAAAGCTGTGGCACATCAGCAGCTTTCATTTATAGTGTGAAGATTGCTGTGAGTAAACCTGAAGTTGGGGTTCAGCTCAGGTTGACAGTTTCCTTTCACTCTTTATTTCTGCATGAATAAGCACCAACAAGTCTCCAACTGACTTCCACTACTCTCATTCTTCTAGAGACATGGGTTTTCTCTCTCTTTCAGAGAAATAGCTTGTCATAAACCTATTTGTAACTTAATTACAGCTGGTTTTTCTGCCCTAGTTTCCCTGCTCACATCCTGTACAACACCTCTTGCTCAAACCCATATATCATACGACATGAATCTTCATTGGTCTCCACTGTTACCTCCACCACTTTATGGTACTTCCCATGTTTCCATGCTACAGATCCTTGCTCTTTGGCAGCTACTGTCTTTTTATTACATACTGCCTTTGAGTTCTTCTTCCAGTTCATTCATAATAGTCCCCCCTTTATTGATATCACCAATTCATGTATTCTGCTTCTAAAGCTTTATGGCACCAAAGAACATCTACCACCTACCCATTTGGCAACATATAGTAGGTGTTGTTTAAACATGTAATTGTTTCTACCACTACAGTGTAGTATCTTCTGTTACCATGGCCCAGAGCAATTATCAGAAATCCTCTATGTATGATGCTCAGAGCAACCCATTATAGATTTTTCCAGAAATTTTGGGATTTCTCCCCCACACCATTTGTGAATAATCAGCTATTCTTCTGTATCAGTCAGATGCTCATTTCTCCTCTTACTGATATTGTTAGGACCATCCCCTCTTTTATCCTCTATTCTACTAACCTGTTGTATACTCTGGACAACAAATATGGCTCAAACTGTATTGCAGGGTTTTTTGTAATGAAACAAATTAACCTTTTGAAAGTTAAAACAGTAGATTATATAGCTCCATTTCAAGAATGTGTATTTGGTTCAGCTTCCTGACCCATGAGAAAGGGTATTTGCAGCAGTCTCTTTTTAAATCATCAAGGTAAGAATAAATGATTACAAATGACTACCAGAATGTTTTGGATTTTGTCAGGTCCTGAGTTATGTCCGTACAGAGTGGGATCCTCTCGATGCTAGCTTCAGCACTCATCAGCCTTACCAGGTGTACACAGTCGAGCACTCAGTCTCTGCAGCCAAAGAGCCCATGGTTGACAGCTGCATCTACAAGTGCATTAGGAATAAAATTCAGTGTGTGGCCGTCACCAGGATACCGCTGCGATCCAAGGCCATCAGCTGCTGCAGAGATGTTACAGAAGATAAACTAGTCCTGGGCTGTGAAGATTTGTCAATAATTCTGTATGAAGCCTACAACCAAGTGACTCTGTTAGCCCAAGCAGAACTGCTGCCTGATGTAATAACCTATCACCCTTCTGGAGCCATATTCGTGGTCGGCAGCTCTCAAGGGGAGCTGCAACTATTTGACACAGCACTGTCCCCAATTAAAATTCAGCTTTTGGCACAAGACTATTCACCTCAGACAACTCTGCAATTCAGTAAACACTTTGAGGTGCCTAGCAGCCTCATCCAGATCCAGTGGGCTGCTCCTTCAGTTGCATTTGCCAGCCCTCATGGCACAGATATTCATGATCTTTTGTTGGTTAGATTTGTCAAAGGACCCTTGGGAGTACTTCATTTTAAACTTGGTAAGTTAGTAAACACATTTGTTGAACCCTCAGCTCTCAAAGAAACACCTGTACCCCACAAGGTTTTTGTCGTTTGAAACACTCTAGTTTTAGATGTATGGGACCATAGCCTTAAAAGCAAGTGGTTACTAGATGTCTGAAGATATGAACTAAGGAGTTCTTTACGTCTCACAATTACTTAGTGCCTTTTCATATGGGATCTGACAGAATAAAACCTCGATCTGTTGTTGGATCAGCATCCTCTCATGTTCCTCATTACTCTAATAGAGCATAACAATTTATCATGTGGAAATTCTTTTAACCTGTAGTATAGAATTTTAGGAATTGTATTCATTCTGTAGACCTAACAAGCTAAAATAAGCTATTTAATAAGAGAATAGTAATGCGATTTTCTTTCCCAAATTATCTTTTTGTATATATATATTTATCCCAGTACTCTGTTCTTCCTGGCTTCAGTACATGAAGTTGCACCTTTTCCTTCCTTGAAGTCTTTTTACAAAAGAAGGAAGGTTATCAAAACCTTCGGAGAAGTTTGGTCTCTCAATTAATTTGCCAGGAGTTGTGAATAGAAGAAGTAATAATACTAATTGTAGAATTTATATAGCAAGTCTCATTTTAGGTGTAAGGAGGCTTTGAAAGAGTAAAACCACAACTGTCTTCGTTTTACAAGCAGAATAACAAGAAGCAGTAAAGGAAAGCTAAAGGGCTTTCCAAGAGTTACACAACAAGTCAATGGCTGAAGTAAGAATAAAACCCCTGCAGTGGCTCATCAGTGAGAACTGTATTTGTTTCATTCAAGTCAGGCGAGTTACAGTGGTGCAAGCCCACTGTGAGAGCTAAAAAACCAATCATGCTTAAAACCTCTGACTCCCAAGCCAGTATTTCAGCAGGGCAGACAGCCATGTTGAATATACTCATCCTGGAAAATGTCAGCATTTTGCCCAGCAGTGTTCAAGAAAACAGGATTGTCTGTAGTTCTTTACAGGAGTTTTTTATGATTCTTTTGTGTAAAGCTATTGAGGTTAGGAAGAAGCCTTTTTTAAAAAACAAAATGCAACAAACAAAAAGAAAAAAAACCCAAAACCCAAAACAACAGCGTAGGTAACAGTAAGATTTGAAAATCTGCTTTATTTCTTTACTTAGTGAGACACTCATATGTTTTTGTGCAGGAAACTCCTGTCTAAAAGTGCTACAGACCAAAAACTTTGAAAGACTGAATTAAAAAAACTTAACCAAGGATGCAACTGCAAAAAAAGTAAATTAATGTAATAGGAAGTTGGCAACAAAAAAATGATGGATTGACTCATAGTTGTGTAGTTTTAAAAGAGCTGATCTGGATAATTGCTGTTATCCAGAGCAAACTATTAAAAAACCTATTTACAAGTTATCATTTATTGCGAGATAATTCAGCTGCATTAACTTCAATGACAGGTTTAATAGTTGCAGAGTACCCCAGAACACTAATTATAACAGCTATTTGATGTTTTTGTGCATGTTGGCCGTTCAGAAAAAAACCTCTAAATTACCTCTTTCCTGATTTCAGCTGGGATGGAGCTGAGCAGGAGGCACTCCTACCCACCTATACCTTCAGTCCTCCCTGGTGAGGTTTTCTCACAACAGCTTTCAGAAAGCACAGCTTTCTCCTTGCTATCTTTAGCACATTTATGTTCTTACCAAGGCAAGCAGGCTCTCAGTACAGGGATTTAGAGGCCTTTCCTGCTAATTGCCAGCTTGTAAACTTAATTGGACTGTCTCCCTGGGCACCGTTCCTAAATCAATTAGGCAGTGAGTTGGCTGTCACCTCTTTTTCCCAAGCAGGTTGCCTGGAAGTGCACCACCCAGGAGAAGTCAAGCATCCAAATGGCAAGATGTTGACCTCTACAGCTGAAAGCTATAACATTTTAAAATTCGTTCTGTCTAATTACTGTAAAATCTCTTCTTCCTTCTCTCCCTCCCTCCCTCCACTGCAAAAATACGTTGTTCTCTATTTCATCTTGGTTTTCAGCTTCATACCACTTCTTCTCAGTTTGCCACACTAACACTGTGTTGATTAGTCAGCCCTTCTTCCCAGGCTCAGTGTTTTTTAGGTCTTTGCTATTTAAGAAATAATGCAGCTATAAATTATACAGAAAATTTAGAGCTTCATGACAGCAAGAACCAGCCAGGTATTTAGGACTGAAATTAAATCCATAATTAACACATGACTTGGAAATGTTTCCCACAGAAGTATGTTAAGAAATTATGTCAGTGAGATAGGCAAATATGTTTTTAACTTCCAGCTATATGATGATTTTGGACAAGTTCTGTGAATTCTCCATTGTGCTGTCTATCCAGATTTATTTCAGGAAAAGATGCATATTAAATATACCCTCAGACATTAATGGCAAATATTTTTGGTATCTAATGCCAAACTCATTTCCAAAAGCATTGCGGCTTCTTGTCATTGATGTCAACCCAGATCTTGAATAATGCCAAACATGGTACTGGTGCCAGAGGTTCAGTATTGCAGGCCTTGAAAGGCATTTGAAATATCGTATTATATTTAATTAACATGCAAGTAAGTATTTTCATCTTTACTTAGTGATTAATGTGAAGATTGCCCAGCTTCTGTAATACTTCTGTAACACTAAACATTTAGTAAGAATAAAGTCTGCTATAACTATTAGATACAACAGGTTAAACATGCCTATTAACACAGAGCAATGTCCATAGGCTTTAATACATGCAAATCTACAGTGAAATACAATAGAGAACCATGTCTTTTCTTTAATGATGCTAAGAAAATAAAGTATTTCTCTGTTACAAAATATATAGGCATTTTTCCCCAAAAAACATCAGATCTGTATACGCACGTTTGCAGCAGGTTACTTCTCCTCAAGGTACAGTCAGATGTTTTCATCCCTTTTTTTTCTCAATTCTCATTTCACATCACAAACAGTATTCACAACATTTATGATACATATGTATCAGGTATGCTTTTCTCTGTTATCAGACTTTGTTTTCCCCAGCCAGTCCTATGGCTTTAATATCAATATCAATATTCAGCTTTTTCCCTTTCTCATCAGAATGTTTTCCTTAAAATTAGTTTTGACAAATAACATGAGACTATAAATTAAAAAAAAATAAAAAACCCCATGTTTTTATTTAAAGAAAGGGAAAAAGTAAATTTATTCTTGTCTCTTTCTGGTATTTCGAGGAGTACTGAGTAAGAATACTGTAGGAGAGTGACTCAAAGTGAACATGACTTGCTAAAATTCGATATGTGGCCTAGGTTACACAATCATTTGGCTACTCAGAGACAATAACACTTTCTGCTGCTTTTCAGTCACCTTTTCTGTTCAGCAGCTGAGATCTACAAATCAAGAAACATTCTTATGGCAAACTTGTTCTTGGTTTCATGTGAAACTGTAATTCAAAGGTCCCTAGATGTTGTAGCTTTGATGATATCCACTAACAGAAAAAATGCTTCACTTAGCGAATATTGCCAAGGTAGAAGTAAATTCTAGAGCAGTTGCAGTATGGAGAGTAATTGCTTTGAAGTTGGAGGTGCTATAGACTTGTATACATAGGTATATCTGTGTGAGACAAGTGGTGGCT